ACCTTCAAATGACAAACACTGATTATCTCACAGTGTCTGTGGGTGAGGAATCTGGGAGCGGGTGAGCTGTGTGGTTCTGGTTCAGGTCTCTCATGAGGCTGTGCTCGAGGTGTTGTTGGTTGGGGCTGTAGTCATCTGCAGGTTTGACTGGGGTGGGATCTGATTCCACCATCACTTACTTGGCTGTTGGCAGGTCTCAGTTCCTCATCACATAGCCTGTCCATTTCTGCCTGAACGTCCGTGTGCCATGACAGGTGACCTCCCCAGAGTAAGTGATTCAATAAAGAGCGAGCACCTCTCTCTGTGGATGAGTGCCACAGTCTTTTTATAACCTTATCTTGAAAAGGCCACCCTATCACTTCTGTTGTATTCTATTTGCTAGAAGGGAATAATTAACTCCGGCCGACACTCAGGAGGGGGATTAAGCTCTTTCTCTTTGGGGAGAAGTATCAAAGAACTTGTGGACACATCTTTCAAACCACCAAAGTGTAGTTCTGGGCACATAGTAACACAAAAACCAAACCAGATGCCATGGAGTCAGCTCTGACTGATGGCAACCCATGTGTGTCAGAGTAGAACTGTGCTCCATAGGGTTTTCAATGGCTGATTTTTCATAAGTAGATAGCCAGGCCTTTCTTCTGAGTTGCCTCTGGGTGGACTCAAACCATCAACCTTTTGGTAAGTAGCCAAGCATGTTAACCATTTGTACCGTCCTGGGACTCTGTGCACAGAATAGTTGCTCAATAAACGATTAGATGTTATTATTAACTTAGCAGACAAATTCACTTCTTGGTTAGTGTATTTTTAGGCAGACTTTAGGGACATCCCACTTTTATCAGGCAAAAGATATTTTGGACTCTACAATGGACTGGAGATTACACACAGAAGACCCCACCAAATGAGGGTTTTCTCTTTCATTTTCTATAATGTTGAACACAATTCCTCTGGCGATCCCCTCTGTTACACTGGGTTGATTGTCAAAGACTCCTATGAGATGAGCAGGCATGGTTTAAAATTCCCTACTCTAGTCTGAGAACGTTTTCTCCCCCGACACTTGGTTGTATCTTCTCAACTGGGGAGAAGGGCATGATTCCCTCCAAGGGGACAATACCATGCGTGTCACCTGGACCAAGGAAGGAATCCCAGGTCTGTTCACTCCAGAAGTTTTAAATTTCAAAAACAGCAAGAACATTTCTAAAAAATAAATCCATTCATTTCTCTATAGAATATAACCACCAATTTGGACAAAAGAGGAAAAAGGAAGGGGGGAAAAAAAAGCTACACCCACATACCTAATACAACCACTGCTGACATTTTGTGACATTTCCTTTCCATAATTTACCTGTACATGGTTTTCTATTTTGACACAGTTACAAGTTGCACAACTACAATTCTGTATCCTGCTTCTTTTCATTAACACTATTGCAGATGTATTTGTATCACATGGTCCTTTCCACCATCATTTTTCAGAGCTGTATACTATTCCACTGGGCGAATCTATCATAGTTTATCTACTCTTCAATTGTTGTTTGTTTACTATTAGTGTGATGTGACATTTTTCTGAATGTTTATTTTCTTTCATGAAACTTACTTTATGTCCTTGTCCATTTATTTAGAGGTCTTACTATTTTTTCCATTTATTTGAATTGGTTCTTTATATAATAAAGATATTAACTTTGTGTGTGTTGTATTTTGCTGCAGTTATTGTATTACGCCCATGGTGTTTTGCCTTCTGTTTTTATCATCCCCTTTAATTAGGGAGGGACTAGATGTGTGTGCCAGGAAACGGGCAACCTTTGCCTCAGGAGGATTACTCAATTGCTTCTAAACTTAGGAAGTCCCTTCTTTTATTCTAGTTCCCCTCCTCACCTCTGGTTTCTATATGACTTTGTAAAAATCCACTTGGAATTAATTTGGAAAAATTGTATGAAATAGGAGTCTAATATAAGATTTTCTTTTCCGAATTACTAATAGGTTGGTCCACCATTAAGGAGCCTGGTGGCAGTGGTTAAGTGCTTGGCTGCTAACCGAAAGGTTGGTGGTTCGAACCCACCAGACGCTCCGAGGGAGAAAGATGTGGCAGTCTGCTTCCATAAAGATTACAGCCTTGGAAACCCTATGTGGCAGTTCTACTCTGTCCTATAGGGTCACTATGCGTCGGAATTGACTCTATGGCAACGGGTTTTTGGTCTAACATTATGATCTGGCACAATCTTTTTCAATGATTTGTGATTCTTTCTGAAATCACGTCGTTCTTACTTAGAATTGGGTCTACTTCTGGCCCGCTGCTTCACTGGTTTGTCTGTTTTGCACCCGGAACTTTACAATAAAAGGAGCCCTGATGATCCAACGGTTAAGCACTTGGCTGCTAACCAGAAGGTTGGGGGTCAGAACCCATCAGTGGCTCCACAGGAGAAAGACGTGGCGATCTGCTTCTGTACAGATTACAGCCTAGAAAACCCTATGGAGCAGTTCTACTCTGCCACATGGGGTCATTATGAGTGGGAATCAGCTTGACAGCACTTAACAACTTTTAAACACTGAGGAAATCTTGAAGTCAGTCCTCAGCAAAAAGAGGAACTTGGTCCAGCTGGAAACAATACAGTCTGTCAAAATTTGACCAAAAAAAAAAAAAGAACTGACGTAGTAAAGTAGAAACTGTGAATTCCTACAACATAGCAGGAAGACGGCAGACTTGCCCCCGAAGATGGCATGCCTGCAGCAATGGGCACTGGAGACCAGGCCTTTGAAAAATTGGTGGGGGGACAAGATTGCTAGAAGGGTGGAATAGCTAAGTAGGAAAACCAGTAAATGCAGCAAATGATCTTCACAGGGAAAAAGTAGCTCTGCTTGAAATCAACTATTCATTTATCAAAAAAAAAAAAAAAAAAAAAGCCCTGAAAAACAACCAGGAAAGATATTTCTAAGCAGCTGAGCTGGAATGAAATCAAGTCTTACTAAAAATGAATAAGACAGGCTGACATTTTGATTGAATTAACAACTTGGCAGATACAGGGAAAAACAGCAGATACCCCATATTTAGGCATCAACCAACTATTTGTCACCATCCCTCGAACTTTTATTGGAACAAGGTGCTCAGCCAGTCTTTGATAATCGGGTAGTGAGATGTAACATGATTTAGAACTATGGGTACAACCCTAATTAGAAGATTTATTTTTAAAAAAAACTTTGGAAAAGGTGTGTGTGTGGGGGGGTGGGTGGGAGGTGGGCTGAGGGGACTCTATTTTGGTTTTCCTGTAATCTGTAGAAGATACTGTGAATCCAAGTCCTAGGATTAGGGAGAAACTCTTAATTTAGAAGTTTTGACTGTGCAAACTATTGCAAATATCATCATTCCTCCCCGACAGGGTGAGGCTGTTGCGGTTTCACTGGTGTAACTCTGCAGTGACTGGTGGGGCCAGCCGTGGTGAAGGGGTTTGGGACCTAGCCCAGAGGGGAAGGGGTTTGGGACCTAGCCCAGAGAGGATACACAGCCATGTCTCCAGGGAAGGACTGGGTCCAGAAAGCCAGTACCTCTCTCATTCTCAGTGGATACATGAAGAACTGGCAAGAAACAGCAAGAAAACAGTCACCTAGGATCCTGGGGGTGGCGGTCACTGGTTGGCACAAATGGTTAAGCCCTAGACTACTAGCTGAAAGGTTGGCGGTTCAAAACCACCCAGAGGCGCCTCGTAAGACAGTCCTGGAGATCTACTTCCAAAAGGTCACAGCCTTGAAAGCCCTATGGAGCAGCTGTACTCCACACATGTGGGGTCACAGAAACATCTACTTGGAATTAACTAGACGGTAACTTACAACATGATTGGGCGTGAGAAAATCACTGTCGTCATTTTATGTACAAATGCTTTCCAACAGGTTTCTAACTGGGATGAAAAAGCTGAGAGGAGAGTGAGAAGTGAGTGGACTCCTTGTGAGGAAGGACGATGCAGAAGAGCTGGGAACGAAACTCATCATCCTTATCATAAAAGAGCAAACGGTAAAAAAAAAAACAAAAAAAAAACAGCAAATGGCTCTTGCACTTGGAGTGCAACACTCTGAACAGATGCCAGGTGAGTCACCACCCCAAGAGGGCCTGATGTGTTTTACAAAACTTGACCGGGCAGGCCAGAGGCAAGGCGTGCAGGATACCCGTGGGCAGGTGAGGGTAAGGGAAGAGGGAGAGAAAAAACCCGAAGTTGGAGATTAGCCAGGAAGCAGAACGCTGGGGAGAGAGTGGCTTGGTTTTACTGAGTTCTGCTGCGCAGGGCCCAAACCTGATTAGATAAAATGGCTTTGCAGGGAGCTGTCCTATCTCCACCTTAATGACAGCCCCCAGGCCTATAATGATAAGCTACACTGGCACCCATGGGTCCTGCAGCCCAGTCCAACCCTGCTGAAAACAGAGGAGGGAGGAGGAGGCGGTAGGGTGTGGTAGGAGAGTGTAACAGGCTTTGGGTAGAGAAAGATGGGACCTGCCAGCTGAGTGACCTCAGGAGTCACTGAATCTCTCTGAGCTGGTGTCTTCATCCGCAGACCGATGACCACCATCCCACCCACCCTATGTGACTGTAGAGAAAATGAGCGCTTTTGTTTGAAACACACCGTGGGCTGTGCAAACCTGTCTTCCTATGAGATGCGGCACTGGCGGCCCAGGTCTACCTCGGGAGAGGACAGTGAAGGAAAAGAGCAGACAGGCATTGAGAGGGGACCGCACTGAGGCCGCCCGGGGCTCAGCAAGAGTGTGCAGACATGCTCGGCTGTGGAGGGCAGCTCAGGCCTCGCAGAGGGTGCCCTTCACCTGACCCCACCTCCCAGGCACCCTGGGACTGGAACTCCACACTTCAGCCCCACGTGCCATCCGCGTTGCTTTGGTGCATTTGCAACAACCGTCTGCATGTCTTTGGCAATCACATACTGGTGGGGGTGTGAGGGTGGGGAGAGGGGTGTCCTGCCTGTGGCTGGGAGGGGGCCTGGTCATGGTGCCCACGGCCTGGGGGCACTCAGAGCTCACGCTTCTTGTTATCAAGGGGCTGGACTGTAGGTCCGGGAGCCAGGGGGTGACCCACTGGCCCCTGGTTGCCAGGCCGCTGGCTCGTGGCGGTGTAGTCCCGCAGGAGCCCGCTCTCCGCTCTGTGCCGCCGGAGATGCTCCGTCCCCACAAGCCCCTGCATTTTCAGGTAGCCCTGCTGGCAAAAGGGCGGCAGTTTCTGGCGCGTCAGGGTGAACAGGAAGCAGGACTCTACACAAAAGCAACAGAGAGAGAGATCAGTCAGGCTGGGCGTGTGTCGGGAGAGGCGCAGAAGGAGGCTACTGATGCCCCAGGGGCTCACTGGAACCCCAAAGCTGACGTTCCTGGGTTCCTCATATCTGACCCGAGTGGCCATGGATCTCGTTCCTCCCTGAGGTACCAAGAATAGGAGGCTACCTTGACATTCTGGAAGAACAAGGCTCTGAAACGTAAGAAACCACAGACATGACTCGGCTTCCACAGATTAGGGCTGAGTGTCATGATCTGATGAAGCCAGGCCAGGGTGGCGGTTCCATCACTCGTGGATGGACCCTCAGTCTTCTCTTCTAGAAGCCGTCCAGGTGTGGCTGAGAACTCAGAGGCCTGTCCCATTTTGAACTCGGAGAACACCTCTCAGAGAAGGGAAGTGGGTAAATACAGCCTGCAAAGATAGAGTCCCTCAGTGATGTCTGGGTGTCTGCTGTGTGCCAGGCACTGTTCTGAGCACTGTGGGGTACAAAGACAAAGTGTGACTCCTCACCTCCACCACAGCAGAAAGCCAGTGCATAAGGTCAAAGCTGATCAATTGTGACATAACCCTTTGCCATCAAGTCAATTCTGACTCACAGCAACCCTACGGGACAGAGTAGAACTGCCCCATAGGTTTTCCAAGGAGCAGCTGGTGGATTCGAACTGCCCAACATTTTGGTTAGCAGCCTAACACTTAACCACTGTGCCACATAGTTGTCCAAAAAAACCAAACCCATTGCCATTGAGTCAATTCCACACCATAACAAACCTATAGGACAGAGTAGAACTGCCCCGTAGGGTTTCCTAAGCTGTAATCTTTACAGAGGCAGACTGCCACATCTTTCTTCTGCGGAGCAGCTGGTGGGTTCAAACTGCCGACTTTTTGCTTAGCAGCCACTGCACCACCAGGGCTCCTGATGTAGTTGTAGACACTTGTTATTTGGCTACTTGAAGGTAAGCATTAGAAGAAACAACCGAAAGAGCTAAAAGTAGTTCCTTCTGTGGAAATAGAGGTGGGGAGGGATGGAAAAGAGTCTTTTAACCAAGTACGTACGTGACCTGATTAAAATAAATAGGAGACATGACAAAGATACAGGCCCAGCATTCTGAGGGACTGAGAGACAGGAGGGGAGAGAGAAGACATAGAAGAATGGAACGCCAGGCCACTGGGCTTGAGTTCTTCTGTAACTCTGGGCAACCCTGTCACCTCTGTGAGCCCCTTAATCTCAGCTAAAACATGGGCATATTACAAAGGTCGTTGTGGGGCTTCCGTGGAAAACCGTACTGTGGGCCAACAGGCTTTGTAGACTGTGAGCTGCTACACAAACATTACTTCTTAATATGTTTCTGACTCACAGCACTGAGGTCCCCTGGAATAACAGGCTGTGACCATCCTCTCTGAACAGAGAGGACAGAAAGCGCAGGAAGAGGACTGCAGGAGGGCAGCAGGGTGACTTTTGGGCAAGCTCCACCCTTCTGATAGTGTTACCCCTTCTGCAGGGCTGCAGAGCACAGACATCTAGCAGAATCTGCAGCTGGAACTAGCAGCTGCCCATTCGCTAAGAGGGCAGAGGGAAAGCCCTTCCTTGCCAGGTGGTCCTGCTGGGAGGACTCTCCCTAGTTCAAGCCAGCGATGCTTAGTGGCTTGTACTGTCAAGCAGTACCTAGAAGTGGGAGTCGGGAGGTTAAAGGATGATATAGGATTCAGTCCCATAACTCAGGCTGGGAGCACACCCCTAACACGCACGGGCATCTTTGTACACTCCTGTTGTTGTTGTTAGCTGCCATCGAGTAGGTTCTGACGCACGGTGACTCCATGTACGACAGAACGAAACATTGCCTGGTCCGGTGCTACACTGGACTCCATTTTGTTGTGATCCACAGGGTTTTCCAGCATCACAGCAACATGCAAGCCATCACAGTACAACAAACTGACAGATGGGTGGTGATGCGTACTCCTGAAACCTTGAGAAACAGCAGGGATTTTGTAGTTGAGGGCTCTAGACTCATAATTTCTGTTTATGTACGACCAACACTGATAGTCTGAAGAATGCTTGCACTTCAAGGTTGCTTAGCTCTGGCTCTATGAATTAACTCTGTTTGAGCACCTATATATTTTTAGAGTATTAATTTAGACTACTGTTTTCAGCTGTCTCCCACAACATATACAGTTTGAATTCAAAGTGAACCAAAGATGTCACCTGGGGGTGAAATAAGGACACTTGCTCTCTGACTTGTAGGATGGGGACTGTATCTCACCTGATTCGATACGACTAGTGTCTGATATAGAGTCCGGGTGGCACAAGTGGTTAAGCACTTGACTATCAGCAGAAAGGTTGGCGGTTCGAACCCACCCAGAGGTGCTGTGGAAGACAGGCCTGGAGACCTACTTCTGAAAGGTCACAGCCTTGAAAACCCCATGGAGCAGTTCTACTTTGCACACATGGAGGCGCCATGAGTTGGAATCGACTTGACAGCAACAAACAGCCAACAACAGTGTCTGATATACAACAGACATTCAACAAATGTCTGCTGAACAACGACAGGAATGGATATCCTAGGTATTCAGGGGATTAAAAAAAAAAAAAGACAGAAAATTGGCTTGCTTCAATCGATTCCCCCTCTGGATCATTTGACTTCTCTCCCCAAGTCCCTCTGAGGGTTTGGTTGGAAATTCTCAGGGGAGATTTTTTTTTCCCCACTCTCCCCAGAGCTAAAGCCAAGGTAAACATAAGTCCCTTCTATCTACTCCTTTGGCGTATTTTTCACCTCCTAGCTTACCCACTGAGATCCAAACTTTATTTGAGGGTCTCTAAACAGACCTCCTACCCTTTTCCAGCCTCACCTTCCCATCCGCAAGGGCTGGTCAGTTAAAACCTTGGCTCTAGGCTACCTATGGTCAGCAGATATCCCACGCTCAGCAGTAGGTTTGTGCTTTCTTATAGTATCTGGCCTCTGGGCAGTTCCCTTGTTTTCACGCCAGCTCTTTATAAAAGACATTTTATCCAGTGACTTTAGGTGTGCTGTTCTGGGAAGGGGTTTCTGTGAACATCTGGTCTACCATATTGTAGGAAATAGAAGTCTCGAGTTTGTATTTCTACATGTGGGTCCGAAATCCCACAGGGCACAGACTTGGTCTTTCTTTGACCTCTATCTCGGTCCCTTTGTCTTTCTGGGAGCTTAAGTTACCTGCATAGAAGTTTCGCAAATCGGTGTCCAAACAGTTCTCCAGGAAGCGCCTCAGAGGTAGAATGTGTGCAATTGGGGCGGTCCAGTCTGTCAGGAAGTCTTCCACGATGTGGTGGATGGCCGTGGGCCGAGGCAGCAGCCAGTCTGCGGGGCGAAACCTCACCTCCTGCTCTGTGGGGGGAAGAGGAGGAAGGAACCACATAGAAGTGAGTGGCTGGGATTCCCATCCTGGTGCTAACAAGGGGGTGGTTCCTGCACAACCCAAATGTCCCCCTTATACATGCCTGGCTTTCCTGATCCACTCCGCAGGGCCCTGGTCAGCTCATTCAATGGCAGTCTGCCAATATTTGAAACACTGACATGTGGAAGAGGGACAAGACCTGTCCTTTGCAGTATGAGGGTAACTAAGACTGATGACTTGGTGTTGTTCTAAGACATGGACTGAAGGTCCCATTGTGGTTGCTTCAAAACTGGTCTTTTGAGTAGACTCTGAGGCCTTGCATTGAAAGGGGTCTTAGATTAAAGTCGTCTAGTCCAGCTTCCCACCTGGTGTGAAACCCCTTCCATGACGTCCCAGTCGGATGGTCACTAAGCCACAACCTGACCATCCCTGGATTGGGAAACTCTATTCTAGGAGGCAATCCATCCCACTGCTGGACTGCTTGACCTTCTACTGAATATAACCTGCTTCCCTGTCACTTCTACCTGTTGGTACTACCTCTGCCCTTTGGAACACCCATACATAGACCACCCTCTTCCACATGACAGTCCTTCAAGTTGTGACTCAGAAGTCATGTTCCTAGGTGGTTCATTTCTTGGTAGCTGCTCTGGGCTAGGCACTGTGCTGGCGTTCCGTGCGTATTATCTCATTTATCCTCATACGACCCTACACAGAGGGTACTATTGTTATCCCCATTTGACAGATAAGCAAACTGAGGCTCAGAGAGGTTAAGTGATGGCCCGAGGTCACACAGTGAGGAAAGGACAGGCCTGGGATTTTCACCCAGGCTTTGTTGCACTCCTATTTTGAAAGACCACCTCCAATTCCTCTCCCTGTTCCTTCTAACATTCAGTCTCCAGATTCTGCCCTCTACCACCAGGGTCGGCCTCCTTTGAATGCACTACAGCACGACAATGTCCCTCTTACTCTGGGGTACCTGGAGGAGGTTATGACACTCCAGGTGTGGCCTGCCCAGGTCATGGAATGTTCCAGAATCTGGGAACATAAATGATCATCCTCCGACCTTCTGCCCCTGCCTGGTCTCTGGGTAGAGTACCCCAGCGGTGCCCCTTGTCAGGTGACAGTGTTGCGTGAGGGCTTGATGGTGACAACTCTATAGACCATGGGGTCTGAGAAGCGCCCACCTCAAGAAAGCCCCAACTCGGGGCGAGGGCGGAGACACAGCTCACCAGTGGGGAGGTGTCTGTAGTAGTAGATGACAGGATGGAGGAAGTTAGACTGCCACGCGTCTCTCATGTGCCCCACCGACCGGTCATAGAAGAAGACGTCCTTGTCGGGTCCAGAGTAATTCTTGCCATACTCCATGTTGATGATGAAGAGCCCGTGCCTGGCCTTCCTTCCTGTGAGGGTCTCCAGTTGCGCCAGCATCTGCATGGGGAACTCCTCCAGGTACTCAAATGTTGTGGTGTTCCTGGGGACAACAGCAACACGGGAGGGAAGACCCTTATTACTGCGGCAGAGGGGAGAGGGGCATGTGCACACACGTGCGTGTCTCCCTCCAGGAAGCTTCAAGCAAACGGTGTACAAGTCTCTAGTCAGCTCCACACACCTCACTTAATATCCCTGTGACAGCTGAGCCCTGACTTACACATGGGATAGAGTCCAGAAAACTCTGTGTAACCTGCAATGGATTATCTGGGGCAAAAGTGATCCAGGCTGAGAGAAGAGTAATGGAAAAGCCCTGAGGAGGGAGTGAAGGCCTGGCTGAGTTCAAGGAACAGGAAGAAGGTTGGTGCTGGAGTGGAGTAAATGAGGGGAAGGGCGCAGGAGAGGGGCTGGAGAGTGGGCAGGGGCCAGGTCCTGGGGGCTGGAGGCGATGATGAGAACTTAGGATTGTATCTGCGGTGCGAAGGGAAGCCATCGGCCCCTGGAGAGTACTGAGCAGAGGTGAGATTAGTGTGACTCATGTTCTGGAAGGCTCACTCTGGCTGCTCTGTTGAACGCAGACTGTGGGGCAAAGGTGGGCAAAGGCCCATTGGGAGGCTGTGGTATTAGTGCAGGTGAAAGATGTGGTGGCCTGGACCAGGTGGTAGTGGTAGAGCTGGTGAGAGGTGGTCAGATTCTAGATCAAATCTGAAGGTAGAGCTGACAGGGTTTGCCCGTGCTCAGACTGCAGGGTAGGAGCGAGAGTGGAGTTGAGGATGAACACAGAGTCCACCTGAGCACTGCTGGACCTCAAGCATGTCCCAGAACTCCGTGGGCCGTTGGACTCCCTGATCAGGCTGTTCCCTGACTGCAGGGTGGGAACGAGAGTGGAGTTGGGGATGAACACAGAGTCCACCTGAGCACTGCTGGACCTCAAGCATGCCCCAGAACTCCGTGGGCCATTGGACTCCCTGACTGCGGGATTCTTCCCCTGCCCCCTGCCCCCGGCCCTGTGAGTGCCCTCCCGACCCTCCGGCTCCAGTCCTCCTCCTCTCAGTGCTCTGCACTGCTTCCTTCTCAGGAGCTGTCCTCTGTGATCGGCCGCTCACCGCTTGGCTGAGAAGGAGCCAGCACAGTCCTAGCCTGAGGGAACTCGTAAATCCTAGCCCCTGGCACCTCAGAGCTGTGGTTCACTGCTCAGCCACTTGGTGCCAGGTGCTTCCTGTACTTTGGCAAGGCAAGCATGATTATCCCCATCTTACAGACAAGGAGAGAAAGGTTCAGAGAGGCTAACTCACTTGCCCAAGGCCACACAGCTGGGATTCACACCCACGTCTGTCTGTCTGCCGAGCTTGTGATGTGGACGCCACTGATTTTTACCCAGTATAGGTCTCCCCTCCTGCCTGCCATGGGCTTCAGGAACCACTGAGTTGCTCCATCCCTGAGGTAGGGAGAGCAGAGCCAGGGCAGGGTGTGTGGGTGAAGCTGAGTGGAGGGGACAGAGGGGTGGGCATGTGCTACTCACTCCTTCAGCAGGATGACATCGGCCAGCACGCTGAACATCTGGTAGAGCCCAGATGCCTCGTTCACGCGCCGGATGATGGAACTGGTCAGCTGGGTGATGGGGCGCTCGGTGGAGGGCCAGGCAACGCCGTGGTGGCGATGCTCCAGGAGCCGGTGGACAGCACGTACTGAAACGGGCAGAGAAAGCATGGCACGTGGCATCCCAGATTTGATCTCTCGCCCCAAGGAGGGAAGTGGAGTCCTCCTCTACTTCTTTAGGCTCAATCCACACTCGTGTGCATGACTGAGTACAAACACGTGGGTGGTGAGAAGGTGGGAGGAGGGAGGCAGGAGATGCCTTGAGAGCAGGGGTCAGTGCATATTTTCTGTAAAGGGCTAGATGGTCAGTATTTGTGGCCTTGTGGGTCATACAGTCTCTGTTGCAGCTACTCAACTCTGCCCTTAACTCTGGAAAACAGCCAGGACCATAGTTAAATGAGTGGGCATGGCTGGACTGGGTGCACAGGCATTAGAAAACCTGCATATGGAAGTCCCACCATCATTGTCACCTCACGTGTGACATCAGACCAAACATATGGACTCGAAGAAAGTAATCAATGCCACTGAATTGTACATGTAGGAACTGTTGGATCCGTGTATGTTTTGCTGTGTATATTCTCAACAACAATAAAAACAACAAAAATTATAAAAAACAACAACAAAATAAAAACAACCAAACACAGGGCCTTCCTCTGGAAGCTTCCCCTTCTCACAGTCTGCAGTTCTAGCAAAGACTCCCACATGGAAACCCTTCCATGGCTTCTTCTCTTTCAGGGAGTACATCCAATCTGCCACTAACTTTTACTTTAAGATGCTTTGTAAGGACATAAAAGCAAATGCTGTGGAATATAACAGGGGGACCTTCGAGTGTATGCCTGGGGCTGTGGTGTGGGCTGTGGAGTGGTGCCTGCTCGAGGGCTGTGAGAGGCTGACTTCCAGCCTGCATTCCTCTTGCCAGCCAAACCATGTGCCCTGGCATGGGGCTGTGTGCCCAGAGGAAAGGGCACAAGGCCTTGTGGTGACCCCATGGATACCCTTTGGTAGCTTTAGAATCCCAACCATGTGAATGGAGCCTGTTATGGGTTGAATTGTGTCCCCCCCAAAATTATGTGTTGTAAATCCTGATCTCTATGCCTGCAGTTATAATCCCATTTGGGAATGGGTTCTTCTTGTTATGTTAACGAGGCAGAATTAGTGCAGGGTGTATCATGAGTTCAATCTCTTCTGAGATATAAAAGAGATCAAACAAGCAAGCAGAGCAGAGATGGGGTAATATCGATACCAAGACACATGGTGATCTCCAAGGAACCAAGAAGCAGAAGCTGAAGAGACAAGGACCTTCCCCCAGAGCTGACAAAGAGAGAAAGCCTTCCCCTAGAGCCGGCGCTCTGAATTTGGATTTCTAGCCTCCTAAACTGTGAGAAAATAAATTTCTGTTTGTTAAAGCCATCCATTTGTGGTATTTCTGTTACAGCAGCACTAGATAACTAAGAGCCCTTCAGGAAAATTTAAAAAAAAAAAATGTTGTGAGATCATTAAAAAAAAATCTGAGAAAATATGAGACCATCTGACTTCTGGATGGGACCTTTCTTCAAGCTTGGAAACAACAGGAGAAACCATAAATGGAACGCTGAGAGAGCTGACTGCATAAAAACATCTGCATTTAAAAAATAAGAAAACATTAAGACAAACCTGAGCTAGAGAAGATATTTTACAATAAATATGATGAAAGATTTATGTGCTTCATAGGTCAAGAATGCTTCTAAGTTAATGAACAAAACACAAACATCCAAGAAAAGCAAGGACACACCCAGACAATTCACGTGGAAGGAAGCTCAGCTGGCTGATAATCACCGGAAGAGACATTCAGCCTCACTAGCAATCTAGCTCTCTGGAAGGAACGAAGGTTAAGCTGAGTTTTGCAAAAGGCTTAGGAATTACACAGCTGGAGAAGTTTGGGAATGATGCCCTGGACAAAGGGAACAACCTATGCAGAGAAATAAAATCTTGAGAGAGTTTGGCACCTTTGGAAAGGCAGGGTTGGCATGCAGAAGGGAGTCCCTGGTGGTGCAAACAGTTAATGCTTTCCTGCTAACCAAAAGGTTGGAGGTTCAAGTCCACCCAGAGGCACCTTGAAAGAAAGGCCTGGGGAATCGACTTCTGAAAAATCAGCCATTGAAAACCCTATGGAGCATGGGATCACCATGTGTCTGCATCAACTCAACAGCAACTGGTTTAGGAGTTCCTAGCTGATGCAAATGGTTAAGTGATCGGGTGCTAACAAAAAAGGTTGGTGATTTGAGTTTACCTTTGGAAGAAAGGCCTGGTGGTCTACTTCCAAAAAATCAGCCACTGAACGCCCTTTGGGGCACAGCTCTACTCTGAAACACATGGGGTTGCCATGTGTCAGGAGTGACTCGATGACAACTGGTTCTGCCGTGGAGAAGAGGCATGGGGTGGGACTGGATAGGTGAGTGAGTGCTGGCCTGGGATGAGCTCTGGATGTCTGCTGAAAGCTAGACTCTCCCAAGGGAGACAGGAGCCGCTGCAGAACTGTAAGCAGAAGGAGGACATGATATTTTTGTTGAAAAAAAGGTTGTGTTTGTGGGCACCCTGGAGGCTCGGGGGGGAAGCAGGGAGACCAGTGGCAGGAAAACCAGTGAGGAGAGAGGAAGAAGCCCGGGCTCAGGTGAAAGTGAGACAGGGATGGACTGGGAGCTGTGCAGGAGGGGAATGACAGGGCTTCCAGCTGGTCTCACCTTCCACAGCACTTACGATCTATACCCTCCATCATTTATCTTGTGTTACTTTACTCACTGTTGTCTACTTGTTTCCCTTGGGACCTGTTTCTCAGCTGAAAGATGAACAACTCAA